TATATATATATAAGATGAATTTGAGCTATGATTTCTGTGAGTAGAATGAAATAAGAATTGATCTTAGCTGAGGGAAGAACCCTCCCAGTACAAAATCTGCGATCTCTCTCCCTCCCTTGAATTTATTACTATTATCATTTCCCTTTTATAACTCAACAATTATTTTATTTCTTTTTTTACTATGAATTTTATTTTTTTTAATTTTTATATTATGAAATTATGATTTTTTATATTTTAAAAAAGAAAATTAACATAAGACATTGCAATATCTTAGAATTTAATACTAAAAATATTTCTTCACGAGTGAATAATTAAAAACAATTAAAAAAATTAAAATTTATTTTGTATCTATAACAAATTTCAGATACTTTTTTTTTGTCCTAGTTGATGTTTTTAAATTTCTAAGATATTTTAAATGAATAAAAGTGTATGAAAGACTAACTTTCACTCAAATACCAATATAAAATGTAGGGACATTTAGTTATAACAGAGTAGGCTAACTGTCCCACTATTTTTTTAATCATTTATAAATTCATAAATAAAATATTTTAAATCACAAATTATAGAAAATTTGAAATGTTGTTTAGAATAATTTTTAATATGTGAAACACTACATAACTTTCTTCGTAAAGAATGTCATATGAATTTTCAATTAGAGTGGTGGACGAACCTTCATCTTCAACATTATCGGTTAATGAAAATCATAATTTTGAGCCTATTATTAAAACCTAGGAGCAAAAGTGAAAAGATGCTAATACTTGGAAGACTAGTATAACTATGAATATGTGGGTGAATGCTATTTAGAAGGACATGATACTATGGAGAATTCTTATTATTATTTATCTAGACATTTTTATTTTTTTGTATTAATTTTGTCTTTGACTCTTCTTAAATTTAAATGTATGAAAAAAAAAATCTTGAACTCTTATTGTATATAAAAAATCTACAAAATTCTGTAAAGTTCACAAAATCCTACAGAATCCATTAAAATCCTAACTTAAAAGTCTTGCAGAATCCATTAAAATCTTGATTTAAAGTCTTGTGAAACCCTACAAAGTCTTTAAAATCATGAAAATCTTGCAAAGTCTTTTAAAATTCACAAGACATTTTTCAATTAAAAAATTCCTTTAAAATCTTAATCCAATACAAACTCCTAAGAGTGATGATAACAAGATTAAGAGTGTCTTTGGTTAAAAATCATTTTAGGTTTATTCTAATCAAATGAATTTTATTTTAAAAATTACATTTAAAAAAAGAAAAAATCATAAACTCATAACTCCCTCCAAATTGATCCTTTGTATTTAACTATATTTCGAACTCTTAAAAGGAATATTTATAGGAAATAATATATATATATATATATATATATATATATGTATATATAAATATATATATATATATATATATATATATATATATATATATTTGTCGTGACTTGTGAGTTGAAGAATTTTATAAATAGTGTACAGTTAATTTCAATATTTAAATACACAACTATTATGGAAAATTTATAAATAGTTTATTTTTAATTTCAATATTTTAAAAAATATTCGTTGCAAAAATATTATTATTCAATTAATTAAATATTTAAAAATAACTACAATAAAGTATAAGAAAATTTCATTCAATTATAAAAAAAATTATTGATACACATTTTCATATATAATCTCATAACTTAATGAAGGGTGACGGTATAGTAATTAGCTAGCCACGTTACATAAATTAATTTTAAGTATATTATTAATAATTTATTTTTATATCCTTAATTTATTATGACTCTATTAATGAGTCATTTACTTATTTTCAATAAAAGTGAATATATTTAGTTTACCACTAACACTATATATTATGTTTATTAGTTATATATATATATATTTATTTTATTTTTTTTTATTTTTGAGTATTGTAATTAAATATAAATATTACTTTCACTATTTATTTTATGAGTATTTTTGGAAGAAGTTCTACCAATAAAACTGTTGCAGAGAGAAATTTGCGCAGTTTCACCTTTGGAGAGCAACAAATAACTTCAAAGAAGAATTGAGAAGGGGGTCTTGTGGCATTGTCTTTAAAGGAACAACAGATTAGGTTACTATTGCAGTTAAGAAATTGCACAAGATGCTCAAAGACAACGATAAGGAATTCAAAACAGAAGTGAATGTGATTAGCCAAACTCATCACAAAAACTTGGTTCGCCTACTTGGATATTGTGATGAGGGAGAACATCGCATTCTGGTATATGAGCTCATGAGCAATGGCACTTTAGCAAACTTCCTCTTCGAAGATTTCAAACCAAAATGGAACCAGAGTCCAGATTTCCTTTGGAAATATTATACAAAGCAAAAATAGGGAATCAAAATGGATATGAATCGAAAACTCACCTTAAATGGAAGCAATCGATCGAAGAACGACGTAGAGAAGAGAAAGCTTAAAAAGCTCTTGCGAAATCACTATCCCCAAATTGAACACTTAGCGAAATGCTTTCATCGCAAATTGGCTCAACAATTGTGTTGAGCGTGAAGTGAAGCTGAAGGTTTAACAAAAGAAGAAGAAGAAGAAGCAAAGCAAAGCATGTGTGACGCGAAGGAGAACGTGATCTAGGTAGGATTTTTTTATTTTAAATTTAAATTTTTTAACTCTTTTATTTTTATTCTTTTAATTTTTTAATAAGAATAAAAATATTTTTTAATTAAATTGTATACGTGGTGACAAGAGTTGATAAATACATATCCGAATATTTAAACATTGTGGCAGCTTAAAATCGCCAAAACTTTAATTATTTTGTGGCGGTTAAAATAACCGCCAGAACTATAAAATTTTGTAGCGGTTTATTAAAACTGCTGAAAAAAACGGCCACTAATTAACTAATTTTTTTGTAGTGAATAATTACTCTTGATTCTTGTGTGTATGTAAAAAAGATTGATTTTAATTGTGATGTCATATAACGATATATTGTTATTTGACGTCTTGAAAGTGGTGATCAAAATTAAAGAGACTTTAAATTATAAATTTAAGATCAAAGACTTAAGAGAAACTTGTGTGATTTTAGCTATTAAAATACAAAAAAAAAATTGAAAATGGTTTATTTCAAAGTCAACCTTATTATATTTAAAATTTTATTAAGGAAATTTCAATAGTTTTAATGTTGCACATCATAAAAAACCATATGATTATAGCATTCATCTTAAAAATATGATAAAGTAGTGTTTCTTAATTTGAGTATGCAAAAATAATTGGTAGTATGTATTTTATGAATTGTACTAGCTTGATTTTACATATGCTTTAAAGTAAATAGGGTTGGGCGCCAAAATGTTCCGGCCAAAGGGTGGACTAGGGTTTCTGCCTAGGTCAAGCCTCATGGCCGACTCTGCTTGGCCATTAGATTGGGGGTGTTCAACGGAAGTGAATGTCATTCGGATGCCGATCTCCCTACAGAAATCACGAACTCTCCCACTCGCGAATTGCGTCCCGTTATCTGATACGAGTACTTGGGGAACACCATATCTGCATACCACATTCTTCCATAAAAATGTCCTTACCTTCTCTACCGAAATGGTTGCTACGGGCTCCGCCTCAATCCACTTGCTGAAGTAGTCTACGGCCACTATCAAGAACTTCAACTGTCTCACCGCGATCGGGAATGGGCCGAGAATATCAATACCCCACTTGTTGAATGGCCAAGGAGACAAGATTGAATGGAGTCGTTCGGCTGGAGAGTGGTGCAACGTTGCGTGTCTTTGACATCCATCACATTTTTGAACCCAATTGACGCAGTCGTTTCTCAAAGTCGGCCAAAAGTACCCTGCCCTCGCAACTTTGTATACTAGAGCTCGCCCTCCTATATGACTTCCACACATGCTGCCGTGCACTTCTTCCATCACTCTCTGCGTTTGTGACGTGGTCAAACATCTCAAAAGGGGAGAGCTGAAACCCCTTCGATACAACCTTTCGTTGATGACTACAAACCTGGGTGCCTCTCTCTGTATCAGTGATGCCTCCTTTTTGTCCTTTGGCAACTCCCCCCGAGTCAGGTATGCAATATAGGGTCCCATCCACGAATCGAGCTCTTCTTGGATGAAAAGAACACTCTCTTGTGGCTCATTAATACTCGACTGAGCTAAGGTTTCTTGGATGATCGACCGAGTGGCTCCTGGCTTCTTTGTGCTTGCTAACTTAGAGAGGAGATCTGCTCTCGAATTCTGCTCTCGCAGTACATGGTTAAGTGTAAACTCTCGGAAATTTTCCGATAAGAGCTTAACCTTTTCTAAGTACTTAGCCAGTTGAGGGTCCTTTGCTTGGAAAGTTCCAGCTACCTGCCCTGTGATCAGCTGAGAGTCACTTCGAGCTGATAAACTCGTCGCCCCCATCTCCTTCGCCAATGCCATGCCGGCTAACAACGCTTCGTATTCGGCCTGGTTGTTGCTTGCTCGGAATTCAAAGCATAATGATTGTTCCAACAAAATTCCTTCCGGACCTTCCAAGACGATCCCCGCTCCACTTCCTCCAAGATTTGAGACTCCGTCCACTGATTGGATCCACTGTGTCTCTCCGGGATTTCCCTCATCAACAGGTGAGGTCATCTCCATCACAAAATCAGCTAGCGCTTGAGCTTTGATTGCTCCTCTGGGCTCATACTTGATGGCGTACTCTGATAGCTCTACATACCACTTCATCATTCTTCCTGCCAGGTAGGGCTTCTGTAATACTTGCCTAATTGGATGATCAGTTCAAACTACTACCTCATAGCTCTGGAAATAGTGCCTCAACTTCCGCGCAGTAACCAGTATCGCAAGAGCCAATTTCTCAATCTTCTGATACCTCACTTCCGCTCCCTGTAGCACCCGACTCACGAAATACACAAGAACTTGAGAGCCTTCTTGCTCTTGGACTAAAATTGCACTGACAGCTCGGTCAGACGCCGATATGTAAACCAATAAAGGGATATTCGACCATGGTTTCGTCAAGATTGGTGGCGATGCAAGCGACTTCTTTAGCTCCATGAAAGCCTCCTCACACTCGGTCGTCCAGGTAAAACGATCATTCTTCCTTAAGCATTGAAAAAGCGGGAGGGCCTTGTCAGCTGCCTTTGAAAGGAAACGCGACAAAGATGCCATTCGTCCTGCAAGTTGTTACACCTCCTTCACCGTTGCTGGACTCCTCATATTGATGATCGTCGAGCACTTATCGGAGTTTGCTTCAATGCCACGATGAGTTAGCAGGAAACCAAGGAACTTTCCCGCTTGGACCCCAAAAGAACATTTTTCGGGGTTCAACTTGAGCTAATACTTGCCTATGGTCTCAAATAATTCCTGCAGATCATCCAAATGCCGATTCAGACTCATTGATTTCACCACCATGTCATTCACATAAGCTTCCACGTTCCTACCCAGCTGGTTCACCAATACTTTGTCCATCAAACGCTGATACGTTGCGCCTGCGTTCTTCAAGCCAAAGGGCATGACCTTGTAGCAGTAATTCAGAAGGAGAGGAAGAGAATGCGAAGCAACGTTGCACGAAGAAGGTCAAAACGAAGGAAGGCGAGACTGTGGCTCCGTCCCGGAGGAAAAATAAGGTCATCCTCCAAATAGAGAGAAACAGGTTCTTTCTTATGCTGAAAGCGTGATGGTGTCAGACGAGGGTAAAATCTTCAATGATTTTAACACTCTTTTGAAGGAGATGGACGACTACAGTGATCCGATGGTAGAGGAGAATGATTAGGCTATGACAGACGACACAGAACTGGATCCTTGTCCCACCATTAATGTCAGTCAAGAGGAATTTGAAGATTGGTGCTCACCTTGGAAGAGGGCTCTCATTATCCATGTCTTGGGTAAACGTGTTTCATTCAAGGCTTTGGAGAACAAGGTGAATAGGGATTGGATAAAGTGAGGCTCATTGCATATGATTGACATGCCTAAAGACTTTTATCTAGTTTAATTTACGGAGGAGGAGGACTACAGGCACGCAGTGTATGATGGCCCCTAGATGATCGCTGATCATTACATCCTAGTCCAACGGTGGAGACCCTTCTTCACTCTGACAGCAACTCAAACCAGAAAGGTTACAACTTGGATTAGGATTCCTGGGTTAACCATTGAACTTTATAATGATCGCTTTCTTTGGAGGGTGGGAAGTAAGTTGGGAACAATGCTGAAGGTTGACAAATTAACATCCATCCATTCACGGGGCAAGTTCGCTAGAATATGCGTTGAAGTTAATCTCAATAGGAGGCTGGTTTCCATGATTAATGTTATGGGGCACATTATAAAATTAGAGTATGAGGGCCTTCACTTGGTCTGCTTCAATTGTGGCAAGTATAGGCATAAACAAGATCAGTGTGACATTGTGACAGGTGCACTAAAGCCTACGACTAGTGAGGCGGTCAAGAAAGATGCAGGAAGCATGGTGGCGGATATGGGTGAGCTCATTGTAAATTCAAAAGAAATGCAACCCAAAGCTACGCTCAAGTCCATATCCGAACAAGAAAATTTGGTGGTTACCAAGCAATCTGAACAAGATACTGACAATCTTTATGGACCCTGGATGTTAGTTAAACGGGGAAAGAAATCTAGCATGTTTCGATCTGCTCCATTAATCAAGGGTGGTTTATCCCCACCGCATATCGTGCCTGAAGTAAATTAAAGGACACAAATAAGAATGTTGCGCCTAGATCGGTGGAAGTGATTTATCCTGTTATGCCGGATGTAGTGGGTGGGTGTATTACACACTCACCAAAACAAATATCAGAGCCACATCAGCATGAAGTTTCTCTCTCCCCTAATGAATGCATTATCCCTGGCACTATGCAAGCCATGCAAATTTCAATGCAAAATCATAAACCATTACCCATCAGGATTGAACCCTGAGTTCGCATCCCTCAAGCAGGAAAAAATAAGCAATCTTATCGAGGCGGTGTGGGACACAATATTATTATTCTGGTGAAATTCAAAAAGGGCCAATTCAAAGAACGATCTAACGCCCCTCTCAAGACAGTCAACAGCATCCTTAAAGATACACCTACGGGTACAATACTGCATCAACAAGAGAACTCCAGCAGAGTTTTCGAAGGCTTACAATTAATGACGAACAAAGTTAAACCTGAGCTATTGTTATAGGGTATGGCTTCTAGAGTGTCTCTACCTAATGATGAAACTCAAATCTATGCGGAGGCATTACAGAGGCATTTCGACCCGATGCTAAGGAGTAAACCTAGTATTCCTACTAGTCAACCTTCTTTGGAAGCAGAGCATGATGGAAGCCCTGGGGTTTCAAAACCCACCAACACTGGTAGTTCCCAATGAATTGCTTAAGTTGGAATTGTAGGGGCGTAGGGGGAAGAAGGTTTCCTTCCTTGATGAATGATATCATTAGGGAGTATAACGTTGGACTCCTATGTCTTATGGAAACCCATATTAGTGGTGATCGTGCTTGTAAGGTTGCTCGTAAAATTTCACTTGACAAGTGTTTCATGGTGTAGGCACAAGGTCACACAAGAGGGATATGGTGCATGTGGGATTCGAGCAGATGGTCCATTGGCATTTTGGAGCATACTGCACATCTTATTCACATCAAAATCAATGGAGGTGATACTCCCGTGGTTTTGCACCTAGGTTTATGCAAGCCCACACCCGCAAGGCCGTATTCCACTTTGGAGGGATATATCTTGGTTGGCGAGCTTAGTCGATGGAGCCTGGCTGGTGATGGGTGACTTTAATGCAGTACTACACCCGCATGAAAGATTAGGAAGTATAAGCCAAACCTTTTTTAGAGGGGACCATGCTTTTAGATCCTGCATTAATCAAAGCAACCTTATGGATATAGGTTACAACAGGGCCCCTTTTACATGGCGCCGTGGAAACCTATTTGAACGATTGGACAGGGCCTTGGTGTCTTATGATTGGTGTGTCAAGTTCTTGGATGTTTCTCTTTCACATTTGAATCCTTTAAAATTTGACCACGCTCCCATACTCGTTAGCTTTTCTGCAAATAAAAGTGCCCAAATCTCCCGTCGACCTTTTCGCTTTGAGGCTGCATGGATAACTCACAAGGAATTTCCGACCATTATCCTCAACGTGTGGAATGCTAACGAGGGATGGAAACAAAGGATAAATCATATGAAACATTCATTACTAGAGTGGAATAAGTCCACATTTGGGAACGTGTTCTTCACAAAACGAAAACTTCTTAGACGTTTGAATGGAATTACTACAAAATTAATTCAAAGCCCCAACCGTTTTCTTGAAAAATTGCAAATGGAATTATGGACTGAATTAGATGAAATTCTTAAGAGAGAAGAAATCATTTGGTTCTAGAAGTCTCGGTGTTAGTGGCTTCGCATGGGAGATAAAAACACTAGGTATTTCCACGACACTACCATTGCTCGGCGTAGAAGTAATAAGGTAGTTAAGCTGATGAATGAAGATAGGGATTGGATGGAGAAACCAGCCGAATTGGAAAGAATGGTAACTACTTTTTATAAATCGCTCTTCACTGATGAAGGGAATTTGGAACCTTTCTACTTGACTAATGCTTTCCCGCGGCTAAATAAAGATGAGCTCTCCACTCTGGAAGTGCCCATCAGTAATGAAGAGATTCATTATGCAGTGAAGTGCATGGGTGGGTTCAAGGCTCCCGGACCTGATGGAATACAAGCTGTGTTTTTTAAATCCCAATGGGACATTATGGGTAATGCAGTGTGCAAATTAATCCATGATATCGAAGTTGAACCTTCAAGAGTTGCTGATATCAATGAGACATTGATTGTATTAATCCTGAAAATAGAAAATATCTCCTTTCTAAAACAGATGAGGCCTATCAGTTTATGCAACGTTTCTTATAAAATCCTAACTAAAGTCTTGCCTCATAGACTTAGATAGGTGATGGAGAAACTAGTCCATCCTAACCAGTGCAGTTTTATTCCAAACAGGCAGAGAAAAGATAACATCATAATTTTTCAAGAAGTAATTCACTCTATGATATATAAATCAAGAGCAAAGGGATGGATGGCAATCAAAATTGACCTTGAAAAGGCCTATCACAGGTTGAAGTGGGACTTTGTGAAAGATACCCTTCTAGACATTGGATTCCCAATACAATTTGTGAACATTATTTGGGCATGTATTTCCTCTCCAAGAATGCGCATGCTTTGGAACAAAGAAGCCCTTGATGAATTCCATCCCTCTCGTGGTGTTCGTCAGGGAGATCCGATCTCTCCATACCTATTCGTCCTCTGTATAGAGAGACTCTTCCAACTTATCTCCAAGGAGGTTGAAGCGAAGAGATGGCAACTAATTAGATTGGCAAAAGATGGTCCCCCTCTTTCCCATCTTGCTTTTGCTGATGATCTTATCTTATTTGCCGATGCTTCTATGAATCAAGTAGAAATAATCCAGGCCTGTCTTGATCGCTTCTGTGCCAGCTCTGGTCAGAAGGTTAGTCTAGAGAAGACTAGGATTTTCTTTTCTAAGAACGTGGCACATACTGTGAGGAATGATATCAGCTCAGCCTTAGGTTTCCAATGTACTAATAACCTAGGGAAATACTTGGGAATTCTTGCCCATCGTTCCAGAGTTTGTCGGAGTGATTACTAAAGTGTGATAAATTGCGCAAATAAGAGGCTTAGTGGGTGGAAAGCATCTACCCTTTCCTTTGCGGGCCAACTTACCTTATGCAAATC